ACGGAATAACATTGAGTCCGTGGCCGATCTGTCATCGGGCTAACATTGAGCTCTTCTGCGGTCAGTCCATCACAGGATTACGCACATTTTCCGAGAGGGGAACAAACCTGCTGACTACCTTGCCAGCCTTGGCGCCACCACACCTGACCTTCACACGTTCCAGACCGAAACTGGTCCACTACGCCTTCGCACGCTGGTACGGATGGATCAGCTTGGATATCCATCTTTTCGGTTTTAGTAGACAAGCCTTTGCTCTCATTTGATCATACATTTATTCTAGGCACCTGTTAGCCCGATGATAGATCTTGTACTATTTCATTTTCCTGTTTTTGGTTCTTTTTTGCTGTGAGACTATGTTATCTGTAGCTGTTTGATATTTTAGGCCGTATTGGGGTCCTGATTTATATACATGTTGGGGATCAAGCCCAATCTCCCGCCCTACGGGGCGTTGTTTGTTTTAAAAAAAAAACCTAGCAACTACAGAGAACTAACCTAGCAACTATATACTACTAACTTAGCAACTATAGAGAACTAACCTTACAACTACAGATAACTAACCTAGCAACTACAGAGAACAAACCTAGTAACTACTAACCGAGCAACTACAGAGAACTAACTTAAAACTAGAGAGAACTAACCTAGCAACTACAGAGAACTAACCTAGCAACTACAGACAGCAACTACAAAAAACTAACTTAGCAACTACAGAGGACTAACCTAGCAACTGTAGAGAACTAACCTAGTTTGAAGGTTAGTTGTCAACGGTCAACGCCAGAGTCAACGCCAAAAGTCAACGGTCAACGCCGGAAGTCAACGGTCAACGCCGGAAGTCAATGGGTCAAAATAATATTTAAATTATTAAAATAATAAAAAAAGAGTAAATCTTAGCCACACATGATGTACCAAATCTTGTAGCTGAAAACGAGTCTCACGTCCTCGCTTTAAAAAAGCGGCTGCATTTGAACCAAAGTGAAAACGTGAGACTCGTTTTTAGCCACGAGATTTGGTACATCATGTGTGGCCAAGATTTACTCTTTTCTTTTTATTATTTTATTTATTTAAATAATATTTTGACCTGTTGACTTTCGGCGTTGACCGCTGACTTCTGGCGTTGACTTCCGACGAAATTCGTTGACTTACGGTGTTGACCGTTGACTTCCGACATTGACTCCGACATTGAACGTTGACAACTAACCTTCCAACTAAGTTAGTTTTCTGTAGTTGCTAGATTTTTTTTTTTTTAAAAAAAAAGAACAACGCCCCGGATGGGCGAGGGATTGGGCTGGATCCTCAACCTGTACATAGATTATGCCCTGAAAATGGGGGCCAAAATATCAGCAGTCTACAGTCTACAGAGTCTCACAAGCAAAACAAAATAGATATAACAATACAAAGTCTATCTTCGGGCTAACAGGCGCCCGGAATATAAGTCTAATCAAAAGAAATCAGTAGCCCTAATCTATTGAATGCGGAACGATGGATATCCAAGCTGATCCATCCGTACAAGTGTGCGAAGGCGGAGTGGAGCAGTGTCGGTCTGAAACGTATATGGGTCTGACATAGTGGCGGCAAGGCTAGCAAGGTAGTCAACAGGTCTGCTCCCCTCAGGGAAGATATGTGTGATCCTATGATGGAAAGACCGAAGTAGAGCTCTAATGCGCATAAGTTGGTGCTGAATATGCCACGAGCCCTGGTGGCCTGAAGTCAGGAGGGTGACGAAAGCTGTAGCATCTAGCTCGATCCAAATATGACTTGACATGTGGACAACAATCTGAAGGCCAAACTGTAATGTCGGAATCTCTGCGTCGTAGCTCGAGGAGGCCTGAAGGGGGGCGTGGAAGGCAATGATGATGGCGCCGCTGTGGTCCCGGATCAGGCCTCCTCCTCCAGAAGCTCCAGTATGGCGATCAAAAGAGCCATCAGTGTTCAGCTTGACCCAAGGAGAGTCGGTCGAAGCCAAACAATAGCTCTGGGCCGAGGGGGCCGAACAGGTGGTGGAGGAGCCACCATGTAGCGGTGTGGTGGCGTGCATCCTATCTAGTCTCGGGCAGTGAGCTTGCCCAATGCTATGATGAGTGAAAGTTGTCTCTCTACCTGCAAAACAATGTGATAAAGCAAAAAGTAATATCCCTATGCTTCGCACTATTCCTCTCCGTCCAGGTGAACCAAAGGATCAGACAAAGAATGAGGAAACCCACGTGTCTAAGGTGTGTGCTCTGTGAGAAAAAAACTTAGGAGCTCAAAGAAACTGTCTGTGGAGGGTAGGGATATATGGATCCATGTGGCAAAGTGCTCCCACACTCTCCTCACAATCTCACTCTCTAGAAAAAGGTGGGTAAAGTTCTCGGTCTCATGGCGTTTAGTCTCAGAACAACACACACACCGAGAGGGGAAAGAGATCCCCCTCGCTTGTAACACAATATCCACAGGTATCTGGCGTAAGAGGAGGCGCCAAAGGAATACCAAAATGGTAGGGGTGAAAATATCGCTCCAGATGGCTACGAAGAGAAGATTAGATCGATCTCTCAGCCTGATATGCTCCCAAGCCGAGGTAGTAGTAAACACACCCGATGATGTAAGTCTCCACCTCATGCCATCCCAACCATCCCCCGAGATGGGTATCTGCTGGATCTGATTTAATAAATGCTCACTAAAACCCCCACCAGAGCCCAACTCCCTATCAAACTTCCCCCTATCCTACGACCCGTCCGTCCAAAGGTCACTCACAAGCAGGTAGGGGGAATGCGTCACATGTCTATCCCTAGATAACAGCCTATCACCTAACCACTACTCATCCCAGACACCAACCTCGCCCTCACCCAAAACCCAGAAGATGTGGTCCTGGGCGCGCCTACCGACCCAAGTAAGGCGCCGCCACTGTCTACTAAAATGATTAATCGTCGTCACCCAACAAGGGTGGTTGGCACGTCTAGGGCAGTACTTGTCGCGAAGGTACTGAGCCCAAAGAGACTTTCCCTCCCTGAAGCGCCACCACAGCTTGTAGGAGAAAGTTGTAACAATATCCCTGAGGCGGCGGATGCCAAGGCCACCCTCAGCGAAGGGCTGGCAGGTCCCAACTC